GACAAATAAGTTCCAGAAATGCAAGCTGGATTCAGAAGAAGATGTGGAATGAGGGGTATCATTGCTAATGTCACATGGGTCTGGGCAGAAAGAAAAGAATACCAGAAAGATGTTTCCTTGTGTTTTATTGACTATGCAAAAGCATTAATTTGCATAGATCATAACATTATGGATAAAATTGAAAAGAATGGGAATTCTAGAACACTTAATTGTGCTCATGAGGAACCTGTATAAAGACCAGAAAGCTGTCGTTTGAACAGAAGAAGGGATACTCCATTGTTTAAAATCAGAAAGGGAGCGTGTCAGGGTTGTATCCTCTCACTATACTTATTCAATCTGTATGCTGAGTAAATAATCAAAGAAGCTCGACTACATGAAGAAGCGAGTGCCTTTAGAATTGGAAGAAGACTCATTAACAACTTACAATATACAGACACACAACTTTGCTGGCTGAAAAGCATGACTTGAAGCATTTATTGATGAAGATTTAAGACACCAGTCTGCAGTGTGGATTACGTCTCAACATAAAGAAAATGAAAATCCTCACAAATGGACCAATAAGCAGCATCATGATAAATGGAGAAAAGACTGAAATTGTTAAAGATTTCATATTACTTGGTTTTACAATAAACACCAATGGAAGCAGCAGTCAAGAAATCAGATGATGTATTGCACTGGGCAAATCTCCAGCAAAAGACCTCTTTAAAGTACTGAAGAGCAAAGATATCTCCTTGAAGACTTAGGTGCACCTATCCCAAGCCATGGTGTTTTCAATCATCTCATATGCATGTGAAAGCTGAAAAATGAATAAAGAAGGCTGAAGAAGAGTTGATGCTTTTGAGTTGTGGTGTTGTCAAAGAATACTGAAAGTACAAAGGACTGCCAGAAGAACTAACAAATCTGCCCTGGAAGAAGAGTAGTCAGAACGCTCCTTGGGAATGGCCAGACTTTGTCTCACTTACTTTGGTTATGTTGTCAGCAGGAATCATCCCCTAGAGAAGGATATCATGCTTGGTAAAGTGGAGGATCAGCAAAAAATGGGCAGGCCCTCAACCAGATGGACTGACACTTTGGCTGCAATGATGGGCTCAGGTATAGCAAGGATTATGAGCCTGGCACTGGTCTACGTAGTGTTTCGTTCTGTTTGTACATAGGGTCGCTATCAGTTGGAGCCATCTCAACCACACTTAACAACCACCACCACCACCTTGTTGACACATGGATATTATTTTATCACTGCCAGATTGTACTTCAGGATAGATCTTGAAACATTTTTGTGACAATGAATGCCATGGCATTCCTCTTCAATTTATCATTCCTGGCATAGTAGATCATATGTTGTCTGATTCAAAATGGCCAAAACCAGTCCATTTCAGCTCATTAATGCCTAGGATATTGATCTTCTAGTGTTCCATTTCATTTTTAAAAACTTCCAATTTTCCTTGATTCATACTTCATACATTCTATGTTCCAATTATTAATGGATGTTTGCAGCTGTTTCTTCCCATTTTGAGTCATGACACATCACAAATAAAGGTCCCAAAAGTTTTACTTCATCCTCGTCATTAAGGTCAACTCTACTTTGAGGAGGCAGCTCTCCCTGTCATATTTTGAGTGCTTTCTGACCTGAGGGGCTCATCTTCCAGCAATGTTTCAAGGCTATTCATAACGTTTTCCAGTTATATCAGACAGTGTTTCATTGGCCAGTTCTTTGAGAAGTGGATGGCCTCTTCCTTTTGAGTCTGTCTTAGTCTGGAAGCACCGCTGAATCCTGTACTCCTGGGTGAACCTGCAGGTACTTGAAATACCATGGTGTAGCCCCAGCCTCACAGCAACATGCAAGCCACCACAGTATGACAATCTGACAGATGAGTGGTGGCTAGGTATAATTAGTATATATCTTTTCTTGTCTTGCAGAATATATTGTATTTATGGAATTTGCTTAAAGTGCTCTAGCGCTCAGGTCTGAAAAATTCACCAGAAGAGGGGCATGGAGATTATGAGGGCCTTTTCGGGGTGCTGGGGTGGAGTGTATGGGGCGCAGCTCTACAACTACCCAGAGTGCATCTTGTTTGGTCAAGAGAGGGATTTGCTAACTCACTTCCCCTCCCCTCCCCAAGGCCAGTCAGGCCCTTCTTTAGAATAGTTACAGCCCACTAAACTGCTGACAGCAGCATCTTATCAGAGTATAGCAGAGGTGGCAGTCACAAGACCCTGCCCGTGGCCCTGATGAGCCTTTGCCTGGTGCCATCCTGTCTGAGAACAGATATTCAGCTGTTCTTCATCCCCAACCCCATCTCCTCAAACCCAGGCATAAATATCCCTGGACCACCTCTAACACAGATGTGAATTTCTTCTCAGTCTGTGTATTGCAAATGCCTACTTCAGCTGGGTTTTGTCCCTGCTCTGTTACTCCAGCAGAGTCCCTCCGTTGTGCAAACAGTTATCTCACTCGGCTGCTAACTGAAATATTTGAGGTTCAAGTCCATCTAGAGATGTCTCAGAAGAAAGGTCTGGTGACCTATTTCTGAAAAGTCAGCCCTTGAAAGGAGCCCAGTTGTACTTTGCCACATATGGGGTCATTGTGAGTCAGACTTTACTCAATGACAGCTTTTTATTTATTTATTTATTTATTTTTAATCCTTGCTCTATGACTCCAACAAATCACATGGACACTGGAGATAATGCATGTTCAGTATTTTGGTTATGAATGAATGACAGAATGAACAAATGAACTGAAGACAGTTTCTAGAAGAGAAATAAAGAGGGCAAGGACACAGGTTACAAAGATCTTACAAATGCCAGAGATGTTACCAGTCTGGACTTTGGTGGTAGCTGAGTGGGTGGTGAAGAGGCCACAACTGTAAGAATTGTTTGGGTGAAGGTCAGGAAATGATTGCCTGTGGAGACTGAAAGAGAAAAAGAGGTTAAGAATGATTTTATAGCGTTCAACCCAGGCAACTGGTCTGTAGGGAAGGTGAGAAGGAGAGCAGACTTTTGAGAGAGGATGATGAACTTGGTTTAGATCAAGTGAAATTTTTTTATTAGTAGAGAATTTTAACTCCCTCTTAGGGAAGATAATCCATACTTACTGCAAAAGTAAATATACTGAAGAACACTTTTAAATGCAATTAAATTTGTTTATTGAAATAACATCGATAAATTGTGAGTAATACAGGCTATTTTTAATGTAGGATAGGTGTCATGCATTTCTCATGATAACTAAAGATTGATGGCCAGCTAAAAAACATAAAAGTAGAAGAACTTATAATAATACAATTTCTATTAAAGGAAGTACCCCTAGAGATGAGCAAATCCAAACAACCAGTTTTAGAGATGAGGACACTAAGGACTGGAAAAGCTATCATTCTTTACTCTACAAATATTTAGGGCACTATATGCCAGGCACTTGCTTGGTGCTGGGGATATAAAATGGTACCCGTACTCAAAAAGCTCACAGCCAAGATAGTGCAGGATAGTGTCCAATAAGTGATAATCTCATCATACAGTGTAACAAATATTGTAAGAAAAGCAGGTTCAAAGTGCAAGGCTTGGGAGCAAGTCCCAGAGAAGGTTCATGTGAGCTAAACTGAAAAGGATGAGCAGAGGTCATGGAACCGTGTCCCAGGAAGAGAACGCATGTGTCCCAGGAAGAGAAGAACACATGTGGAGGCCAAGGTGAGGACAGCATAGTGCATTAAATTAACTACAGGAGTCAGACTGCAAGGGAATTCTACTCATGAATTTCAGATAGGTAGTCTCCTGGCTCCCAGTGTGGTGCTATCCTTAAAATTCTACCTGTTGCTCTATTTATTGACAAGTCTGACAATTCAGCAGAGATAGTAGTAATATTCTTGCATAGAAAAATGGAAGCACATAAGGCTCATGCTTACCTAGATATAGACATAAAGACTTTTCTAAACTCTCTTGATTAAAATGGCTCTTCATAGGAATCATTACTTCATAACATAGCTTTTCATTTGTTTTAAAATATACACCCCACCCCACTCCCTAGATCATATAAAGCTCTTAAGTCTGGAAGGCATTTTAAGGGGTCATTTTGAAAGGGGCCAAGGGAGTATAAGGGTGGAGGTGGGGGGCAGTGGGAGCAGTCCACGACCCTTGGCAGGAAATAAAGAGGTCATTGCCTATAGAGAGGGAATCCCAAGGAAGTGCAAAGAGTTAATGAGCATAGGTGCTAACTCAAAGGCTAGACGTTCAGGTCCACTCAGAGGTGGGAGCTCTGGTAGCATAGTGCCTAAGGCATTTGACTGTTAACCAGAAGTCTGGCTGTTCAAACCCACCGGCAACTCCTTGGAAGGAAAGTTGGACAATTTACTTCCGTAGTGATACTGCCTCGGAAACCCAAGGAGGGGTTGCTATCAGTTGGGTCTGACTCCATGGCACATAACAACAACAACAACAGAGGTCCCTCAAAAGAAAGTCCTGCAGAGCTACTAATAAAAATTTCATTAGCAACCCTGTGAACACACATGGGCTTGCCATGAGTTGGAATCTACTTGATGGCAATCTTTTTTTTTTCTGTTTATAGAGAATTTTTAAATTAATAATACTTAAATCATTCTGTTTTTTATTATCACTGTGTGCCATCAATTTTCAGCAATGTTGGTAATAAAATATCCTTACAGCCATGAAAAATTGCTCCTATAACTCCTTACCCCATTGGACACCATTGTGTTTAGTACATACCTGCACACACATATAAAAGAGAACCCATAGAGGCTTTAGAAATATTGCAAGTATCCATACCAGCCATCTATTCAGCTCATATTACCACATATACTCCAATCAATTTCATTTTGTAAACATAGCTTGAGTAGTCAAAAATCATATACATATAAGAAGCACACAGATATGTTCATCTTCCTAAAACTACTATATTTATTTCCAATGATGATTCTCATCTCTTCAAATCTGAAATCAGCTTCCAGCTAGGGTCAGAGTATGATACCCAATACTATGGCTTCTGCATGCACAAGTCACAGGGAGCAGTCCTCACTCATCCTCTCTGGTTGGGCCGTCTGGCACGTGCTTGGTGGTGTAAACACAGAGGGGTCTTTAATGCCCAGCTGTATGTCAAAGAACCGGGTGGACAATATCACACTGTAATTTTTGGTGAAGGTTTCTTGCACAGGATAACAATCCTTGGCTGTATAAATACCAATCCAGGTTTCATCTGTAAGAGGAGACAAAGTTGACTTTTAAATATTGAAGATGGGCAAAGTGTCTGCATTTTTACAACACTCTTGGAGTAGGACTGGTAGCAAAGCAGGGAACAGCTTCACTTGTATGCACAAACGCAGGCTAGTCTGGCACCAGAATGATGGTGCAGGTCTGATCATTGCAACTATAGGAAGTGATGTTTGAGGAGGACAAGAAGGTACCTGATTCAAATTTGTGCTGTAGAGAAATGCCTTCCTTTCACATGATCAGAGCCAAGGCTAAGTCCATAAAAGCCAAAGTAGCAGAAGGGTGGCATTAGAAGGTTAAGATGTTTCAAATATGATGCTCCATAGACCAAAAACTCACTGTCATCAAGTTGATTCTGACTCATAGAAACCCTCATTGGGTTTCCAAGGCTGTAAATCTTTATGGAAGCAGACTGCCTCATCTTTCTTCTACAGAATGGCTGGTGGGTTTGAACCACTGACCTTTTGGTTAACAGTCAAATGCCTTAATCATCACACCACCAGAGCTCTTTTTAATATGCTGTTGTTGTTTTTGTTATGTGCCGTCGAGTCGGACCCGACTCATAGCGACCCCTCCTTGGGTTTCCGAGGCAGCATCACTACGGAAGTAGATTGCCCCATCTTCCTTCCGAGGAGTGGCTGGTGGGTTTGAACCACAAGCCTTCTGGTTAGAGTCAAGTGCTTTAGGCACTACACTACCAGAGCTCCTTTTAATATGCTAGTGTGACACAATTAGCAAAAATACATGCAAGGACTTAAATGTGGTTTTTTTGTTGTTAGTTGCCATCAAGTCAATTCAAACTCATGACAACCCTATGTGTGCAAAGCTCCATAGGGTTTTCAAAGCTGTGACCTTTTGGAAGCAGATTGCCAGGACTATCTTCCAAGGCATCCTTTGATGAATTTGAACTGTCAAACTTGCAGCTAATAAATGTTGAGTGCTTAACCATTTGTGCCACCCAGGAACTCAAATGTGGTTTAAGCAAGTTAATTAAATTTATTAATTTTCCCATCAGCTATCTTCCCAAAAAAGTTAAACAATTTTCCCACCATGCTTCCCGATATATGCTGAGGGATATATATATTTTTTTTTTTCGATCCCCAAAGGGATATCCTTACATGATCTGGCTGATTTCCGATCAGACCACTCCTGGACCGTTATCTGTTCCTGGGGCCCCCCTATGGAATATTGATCTTCAAAAGTGGCATTCTGAGGAATGTCGAGAGGATCCCAGGGGTCTTCCAGGGTAATCTTTGAGCACTGCTTGGTGGCCTGTTCAATCTGAAACATCACTCCATCCTTATAGAGGAGAATATATTCGAATAATCTAAAAGACAGATAAAAAGAAATTTGCTTATAGCTTTACATTACAATCATCATGTCTTTTACCAGCATAAAGGACAAAGTTCTTTGATATAAATTAATTTTTCAAATAGAAAGAATTTTTTTTAACTTGTTAGGCAGTCCTTTTACTTATTTATAAACAAAAGGCACAGGAGCAAGTTGAATATGAGATAATCAAAACTGAGAGTTCAGAATCTCATACGCACTCAGTATTTATTGAGTAGTTGTATGATGCTTAGGATTCAACAATGAGGAAGATACGGCCCTAGGTTGTTGTTGTTGTTATGTACTGTTGAATCAGACCCAACTCATAGCGACTGCTCATTGGGTTTCTAAAGCGGCAGCACTACGAAAGTAGATTGCCCAACCTTCCTTCTGAGGAGTGGCTGGTAAGTTTGAACCACCAGCCTTCTTAGGTTTGGTACTCTGCAGTAGAATTCTCCCCTTCCTTCAAAGTGACCTGGGTTTCAGTCTTGCCAATGCACCTCATGTGCAGCCACCAACCATTTGTCAGTGGAGGTTCATGTATTGTGATGATGATGAACAGGTTTCATTAGAGACCCAGACTAAGATGAACTAGGAGGAAACACTTAGTGATGTACTTCTGAAAATCAGCCAATGAAAACCTTGTGCATGACAACCGTCAGTTCTCAACTGATCACACTAATAGTGCAGGACCAAGGTGCAGTTGGAGTCAGCCGCAGGGACCCAGGTGAGGAGAGGGAACCCAGGCCATGCCCTACAAGCAGCAAGGTGGGAAAGCAGGGAGAGGACAGAAAAGGCAAAGGGGACTGGAACAGATCAAGGAGTCAGCCGCAGTGACCCAGGTGAGGAGAGGGAACCCAGGCCATGCCCCACAAGAAGCAAGGCGGGAGAGCACAGAGAGGACAGAAAAGGCAAAGGGGACTAGAACAGATTGAGGAGTCAGCCATAGGAATCCAGGTAAAGGTGGTTGGAGAGGTTTCCAACAGCTAAGGGAGACAAACTTGTCTGTTAGTTTGTCCTACTGTGGTGACATGTTGCTGTGAGTTTTGAGGCTGTGCCACTGGTGTTTCAAAACCAGTGGGGTGCATATGGTGCACAGGTATCAGCCCGGCTTGCAGACTGAGACAGACTAGGAAGAAGGGGAAGGCCATCCACTTCTCAAAGAATTGGCCAGGAAAACCTTATGAATAGCAGAGAAACACTGTCTGATACATTACTGCTCAACTTTATGAATAGTCTGGAAACATTTTCCAATACAGAGGAGGAAAATGAGTCACTTAGCTTAGAAAGTTCTCAAAGTAGGACTGAGCAAGAGCTGCATTATCAGAGTAAAATAAGCCTTACTCATATGGGTAAGTTAAAGCTTTCGAGACCTCCATTTGCTGATGTGGCACCACTCAAATTGAGGAGAAATAGCGGCAAACATCCATTAATAATTGGAACATGGAATGTATGAAGTATGAATCTAGGAAAATTGGAAGTTGTAAAAAATGAAATGGAACACATAAAGATTGATATCCTAGGCATTAGTGAGCTGAAATGGGCTGGTTTTGGTCATTTTGAATCAGACAACCATATGGTCTACTATGCTGGGAATGACAGTTTAAAGAGGAATGGTGTGGCATTCATCATTACAAAGGATGTTTCAAGATCTGTCCTGAAATACAATGCTGTCAGTGATAGGATAATATTCATACACCTACAGGGGAAACCTGTTAATATGGCTATTACTCAAATTTATGCACCAAACACCAAAGCCAAAGATAAGGAAATTGAAGACTTTTATCAACTCTTGCAGTCTGAAATTGACCTAACATGCAATCAGGATGTGTTATCACTGGTGACTGGAATGCAAAAGTTGGAAACAAAGAAGAATCACTGGTAGTTGGAAAATTTGGCCTTGGTGACAGAAAAAATGCTGGAACTTGCATGGTAGAGTTTTGCAAGACCAATGACTTGTTCATTGAAAAAAAAAACACTTTTTTCCAACAACACAAACAGTGGCTGTACACATGGACTTCATCAGATGGAGCATACAGGAATCAGATTGACTACATCTGAGGCAAGAGGTGATGGAGAAGCTCAATATCTTCAGCCAAAACCAGGCCAGGGGCTAACTGTGGAACAGATCATCAACTGCTCATGTGCAAGTTCAACTTGAAATTAAAGACAATTAAAACAAGTTCACGAGAGCCAAAATATGAGGTAGAATATATCCCTCCTGAATTTAGAGACCATCTAAGGAATAGACTTGATGCACTGAACACCAAGGACCGAAAACCAGAAGAATTGTGGGATGACATCCAGAGCATCATCTATGAAGAAAGCAAGAGGTCACTAAAAAGACAACAAAAGAAGAGAAGACCAAAATGGATGAGAGAAGAGACTCTGAAACTTGCCCTTGAGGGGAGAGTAGCTAAAGCAAATGGAACAAATGACAAGATAAAAGAATTGAACTGAAGATTTCAAGGAGCAGCTTGAGAAGACAAAGAAAATTACTATAATGAAATGTGAAAAGTCCTGGAGTTAGAAAACGAAAAGGGAAGAACACGCTCAGCATTTCTCAAGCTGAAAGAACTGAGGAAAAAATTTAAGCCTCGAGTTGCAATATTGAAAGATTCTAAGGGCAAAATATTGAATGATGCAGGGAACATCAAAAGAAGATGGAAGGAATACAGAGAGTCACTGTACCAAAAAGAACTGGTCAATCTTCATCCATTTCAGGAGATGTCATATGATCTAGAACCAATGGTACAGAAGGATAAAGTCGAAGCTGCAATGAAGGAATTGGCAAAGAACAAGGCTCCAGGAATTGACAGAATACCCATTGAGATATTTCAACAAACAGATGCCACATTGGAGGCACTCACTTGACTATGCCAAGAGATTGGGAGACAGCTACCTGGCCAACTGACTGGAAGAGATCCATATTTTTACCCATTCCAAAGAAAGGTGATCCCACAGAATGTGGAAATTATAGAACAATATCATTAATATTGCATGCAAGTAAGATCTTACTTAAAATAACTCAAAAATGGTTGCAGCAGTATATTGACAGAGAAGTTCCAGAGATGCAAGCTGAATTCAGAAGAGGAAGTGGAACAAGGGATATCATAACTGCTGTAAGATGGATTTTGGCTCAAGGAAAAGAATACCAGAAAGATGTTTACTTGTGTTTTATTGACTTTGCAAAGGTATTTGATTGTGTGGATCATGATAAATTATGGATAACATTGAGAAGAATTGGAATTCCCAAACACTTGATTATACTCATGAGGAAACTGTACCTTGACCAGGAGGCTGTCATTCGAATGGAACAAGGGGACACTACATGCTTTAAAATCAGGAAGGGAGTGTGTCAGGGTTGTATCCTTTCCCCATACTTATTCAATCTATATGCTGAGCAAATAATCTGAGAAGCTGAACTATATTGAGAAAAATGTGGCATCAGGATTGGAGGAAGAATCATTAACAACCTGAGATATGCTGATGAGACAACTTTGCTTGCTGAAAGGATGACTTGAGGCTCTTACTGATGAAGATTGAGGAAAACAGTCTGCAGTATGGATTACATCTCAATATAAAGAAGACAAAAATCCTCACAACTGAACCAATAAGCAGCATCACAACAAATGGTGAAAAGATTGAGGTTGTCAAAGAATTCACGTAGCTTGGTTCTACAATCGAGACTGATGGAAGCAGCAGTCAGGACATTAGATGACATGTAGCACTTGGCAGGTCAGCTGCGAAGGAATTCTTTCAAGTGCTGAGGAGCAAGGATGTCTCCTTGAGGACTAAGGTGCACCTGACACAGACCTTGATATTTCCAATCATCTTGTATGCATGTGAGAGCTGGACAATGAATAAGGAAGACTGAAGAAGAGTTGATGCTTTTGAGTTGTGGTGATGGCAAAGAATGGTGAAAGTACTGCTAAAAGAACTAACAGATCTGTCCTGGAGGAAGTGCAGCTGGAATGCTCCTTGGAAGCAAAAAATGGCCAGACTTCATCTCACCTACTTTGATCATGTTGTCAGAGGGAACCATTCCCTGGAGAAGGATGTCATGCTTGGTAAGGTGAAAGGTCGACGAAAGAGGGGAAGGCTTTCGACGAGATGGATTGACATGGTGGCTGTGACAATGGGGTCAAGTATAGCAAGGATCATGGAGCTGGCGCAGGATCAGGCAGTGTTTTGTTCTGCTGTACATGGGGTCACTATAAGTCGGAAATGACTCGATGGCACCTAACAACAACAAGGAGCATTTCTTTTCACTGTGCTTGAGTTCACCATGGCTAAGAGACTGACTCAATGGCAACTAACAACAATAACATGGCCCTGAGATAACAGTTGGTTTGTGACATTTTGTTAGGCCTCAGGAACACAGAAGGATTTGAGCCCAGATTGAATTCTCCTTGCAGTCAAAGAATGATAGCAATATAATAAGTCTAGGATAAACAAGGACCCAATTAAGTATTGTACAGGACCAGGAATGATAGCACATTATCATGTTCGTCCATCCTTCATGAATAACGGGTTTTGGTGAGATCCGACTATACTAAGAATGAGATTCTCCCCTAAGGAGGTTGCAAATACCAAAGACAAAAGGAGAAGAGATCCAAACTAATGGCTTCCCTCAGTGGAGTTTGTCTGCAAACTCTTAGCCTCCTCTCATGACCACATATGGGCCCTACTTGTGGAGTGAGACTAAGGCTATGCAGAAGCTGAGCCTGGTAATCTCCAGATCTTTGCTCTGCCACTACCAGACTGCCGTGTTGTTGCCAGTTGTGAATACTTTCATAGCTTAACAGTCTCAGTGCTGGGTGAAGCCTGTTGTATTTGAATTTGACTGTCATTCAAAAGCTCAGACTACTTCTGCTGTGAGCGGAGTGAGAGTTGCAGCCATGACTTCGAAAAATGAAATTTGCAACATCTGAGGACAGAAAGTTTTTTGTCAAGAGGTGGCTTTTCATAGGTTCAAAAAGATAGCCAACAAATTAT